AGCTCTCCATAAATCGTATCATAAAAGTCTTAAAGCTAAATCCCTTGTTAATCTTGCATTAATACTAATTTTCAGTCGTTAGTATTGTAAGATAACAATATTAAAAAATTGCATATTTTTAGTAATGAAAAATTCACAAGAAAATTTCTTAAACTATCATTTAATAATATTATCATTTTAAATAAAATGCTATATATTATATAATAATTTATAAGGATCTTGAATTACAGAAGTCATTTGGTGATAATTCAGAAAATGCTATAATAATTCAAGTTAAAATATATCAATTTAAAAAATATTGAATATTGAATTAGTTCTGAAATCTTTAGTTTAAAAACATCCTTATAGCATATAAAAAGTTTATATATTTTAACAAATTTATTACAAATAATGATAGAAAAGTTTATTAGGAAAATAAGATTTTTAACCAAAATTTAATTTTTATTAATTTTAATCTAATATCATCAAAAAATTAAAATACAATAAAAATTAAAATTTTATTAAAAAATTTTCAGAATCCAATTTTTTTAGCAAACCTCTTATATTATTGATTATTATTCAGATTAAATTTAATACTATTTTACTTGTATAATTAATTTACTATATAAATTAATTAAACATTTTTTAGAATATGTTCAATAATATTAATTTGCAAATTCTTAAAATATTTAATATCAATTTTGTAATACAAAAATATTATACATAAAGTCAAAATAAAAAATATTTTAATTTTGAAAATTACAATTAAAATAAAAGTTAAAATAATTAAAATGACATTATATCATATAATTTTTATATATAAAAAGCTAAAAAAAAAAATTAAAAATACAATCTTAATCAATATTATTTTAATTCTCATAAAATAACCACTATTCAATTTGTGATTAAACAAATCAATGAGTATATTATATTAGTTTTGATATTTTAAAAATCTGAATCCTTTTATTTAAAGTAAAATTTATTAAATTATAAGTTTAACTGATAATTTAATCATGATTATCTTATGATTAGCTGATCTAAAATTAATATATTATAGCTTATTAGATTTGTCTAATCATAATAGTTTGAATGATTTTTTTTATTTAACTTTATTTAAGATTTGAAAATCAGTACATATATTAGAATACAGCTGACTAATTATAATTAGAAGAATGTCAAATGACTTTTAAAGTAAATTTTTCATTCAAGCCAGAAATATTATATTCATAATATTAAGTAATTCATTAGGCTTTTGATCTATCTTAGTAATTGTTGGTAGTTTGACATTACAATTAGAACAAACATGTTTTTTAATTATCAATATTAGAAGTTAAACAATTTAAACATCTTTTTATATATCCTGTATGACTTAATGTATTAACTTATCAATTATATTTGTTTCCTGATTCTTTTTGATATAAAGTTTGTTTATTAAAATTGTAATATATTTAATAAGCTCATTATTGATTTTATTTTCTATATCTGAAATTAAATAAAACAATTCTTCATATTGCTCTTAAATGAGCTTTACAGGATTAATATCAGTTTGAATTGTATTATTTTGATCTTAAAAAGCAACAAACCTAATAACTATATAAATATTACAGTATTATACCCACAATCTAAATAGTTCTTTTAACCTTTTTTTTATTATCAAAAGCCAGAAATAATAAACCTTCTAGAAGTGATTGTTATTTATTAGTTAGACTTTCAAACCAATTAGTAAACTTTATGTAGCCACTAGAACTGATGATATGATTATCAATACTAATAATAAATAAATTTAGATCTTGCTATTGAATATTTAATAGCAAAAGTAGTAAAATTAATAATTGAAACATATTTCAAATTTTTTGCTTTATAAATAACATCAACAGTCCTTATACATTTAAAAAGCTTATCAAGTTGATTTTCATTTTCATTACATATAAAATTTCTATAAATTATATAATAACTGAATTCTGTTTAGAAAGTCATTCAGATGTACAATATCTTAAAAGCCTATCTAGACTAAATCATTTTTTATTATTTATTAAACTAATTATATCATCATATAGATTTTTACATTTTTTTTTAACAATTTCAACTATAGAATTAATATGTATTTTTTGACTATCAAATTTGGATTTCATTTTTCTTTTAATTTTTCATTTTCAAGTTCTAATTGAGAAATCCTTTGCTTATACTCTTTTATAAGATTAACATATATTATTTGTTGATATTCAGAAGCAGCTAATGTTTTTTTACATTTAATAACTCTATTATAAGATCTGCATAATGATCATATGATATAATATCTCCATTTTATTTTCTGTTCAATACTAGTCAAATAATGATAAATAGGAGACTAATCAGATCTTAAAATAGAATTTAATGATTTATAATTTTGGCTGATAATATAATTGTAATTATTTTGAGATTGGATGATCCAAATTAATAAATGTTAGTTCATTGAATTCATCTAGTTATAGTGAATCGAATGGTAGTTATTTTATACAAATCAGGATGATATTGATTGAAGTCATACATTTTTTATTTTTTTGTTTTTTCTATATATAAAAAATCATGTGATATAATATCATTTTGAAAAATTTGATTTTTAACCTTCAATAGTTTAAAATGATTTTGACTATTTGACCATTTCAGATATCTGAAATGATCCATTTTGACTTCATGTATAATCTGTATTACTACTATCATATTTGGAAGATATCACACTTTTACTCCTTCTAATTCTCTTCTTCTTATTACTTCTACCTTCATTATCATCATTATTTTTATCAGATTTCTTTTTACGATTGGATTCCTCTATAATATCAGATTCTCTTTTATAATCAGAATCCTCCTAAAATAGTTTCTTCTGAGTGGTTTCCTCCTGAATAGATTCCTGATATTTAAAATACTTAAAATCATCAGATTCCTGGTTATCGTTTTTAGAATGATGTAAAATATGTTTTTTTACTAACAACCTTGATCTGTGAATATTGTTATGAATATTCAAAATTTCAAGAAAGATTTCACCTTTCTGACGTTGCTATTGATTTACTTATTAAGTTTTTTAATAAAATTTTATTAAATGCTGATTGGTCATGTTTCTACAAGTTCTTATATAGCAAAAAAAATGATAGAAATTAATAAGCAAGTAAAGATAAAGGAGCTGATCTATTAACAATAGATTATGAGACTAGTAAATTAATTTTGAGTAATTGATGATCAAAAATAGTTACGCTACAATAAACATACTTAGACAATAAAAAATTGCACTAAAAATAATATTGAGTTTAATCAATTAATAAGGCAATACTTTAATTTTATATATATAACATTTTATTATAATAATTATTTTTACAAATATTAAATTATTTAAAAATAATGAAACTATAAAATATTTAAAATTTTGCTATTAAAACTGCTTTGTTAAAAATATTGTTACATCAATTTCATAATATGAGAGATTTTTGAAATTTTGCTATTAAAACCACTTTGAAGCATTTTTATATATGTCGATCATTTGTTGATCATAACTAAAATTTATATCAATCATTTCTATAAAATCTAATTTTAGATATTTGATTGAAATTATGCTGAAATTTAAGCATTTTTGCCAGCCAAATTACTTGTTTTATTAATAGGTTAATAGTCTTTAAAAATTTAACTAAATAAAAGTTCATTTAATATATTATAATATGAATCAAAAATCTTATTTTTTGTTAAAAGGTTTCTGTAACTCATTTTTAATAGTACAATTCCTATATATACAGTATGTTCAGATTGCAATACATTATATAAAATTTCAGAAATTTTACAAAAAAATGTGAATGATTAGTCAAATAATAGGTTTAAATATATTCATGTAAAATTATCTGAGAAAAAGCCAAAGAAATTCTTGTAGAACAGAAATAACAAAACAAATATTGATAATTAAAGGTTACATTAGAAAATCAAGAATGATTTTTGTCTTCTTTGAAGGCTCAATTAATTACAATATATCAGCGATCAGAATTTGAATCACTTTGAAAATGGACTAATTAGGATGATACTTAACTGATAACTGATATTTATGATGAAGAAATTTGAAAACTTTCTCATCACAAATTGACACACTTGATTCTTCACATTTTTTACATCAGAAACTGCTGATTTCTATTTAAGAATTATAATAAGTTCTAACTTTTCAAGTCATCAGCATATAGTAATACGTTATATATAGTATTATATGTAACCTTTCATGTGAAATTCAATTTAAAAAGAAAAATATATTGATACTTGGACTATTATCAGGTCTTAAAAAGGTAAACTTATATTAGATAAACCACCACCTTTCCCCAATAGTAGATGAATTATTCCAAATGGAAAAAGAATTAAGTTAGCTGTCATTTGCTACTCAAATAATATTCTGGTTATCAGAAAATTGTGCAGTCATATATCGATATTAACTGGCTGTCATCGATGCTACAAATGAGTAAATACAGTAGGTAGAAAACCAAATTTTGGTGGATTCGAAGACATAGTTGATTGGTTTCAAGAATGAGATCTTAAAGAACATCTCAAAAATGCTGAAGAATAGCAATGCAAAACAAAAGATAAAAAAAAAGCAGCATATTTCTGATACATACATATGTTAGTCAAAATGTTAAAGCTTCCTTATTTTAACCTAATTTAATATCTTATCATTAATCTAATGCATTGCCTTTTTCTTGGTATTGCCTATTGGATAGTAAAAAGGTTATAGTCTAATAAAATCAATCTTGTATTATTAGAAAAATGGTAAAAATCATCAACCTATTTACTGATTTAAGTCAAATCCCAAATAAAATTTTAATTGAAGAAGGGGTTTACAGCTTTACAGCTGATCAACAAAAGACTTTTATTTTAGTATATACGACTACATTATTATGGGATCTTTTGGATTTACCAAATAGAGAAATTTTAGTTAATTTTGTTAGAGCTTGCTTATTACTTATATGTTGAATAATTGATAATAATATATTGATTGAAGCTCATGCCTGATTGTTACAAGTAGTATATTTGATTAAAGAAAACTATAGACCAGAGTTTATAACACCAAATATACACCTTTTGCTTTATAAAGTCAAACCTTGATATAGCGAGCCCTTGATATAGTGAATTTTTAAATCAAATATATTAAAATTACCTTACTATAATAAATTAGCTAATTAAATTCTTTAAAAAATTCGTTATAAGCTTATAATGAAGTTGATATCCAGATCCTAGAATTCATTATATCAAGAGTTCACTGTATTATTGAATACTATTGTGATTATAGTCCCTTGTATTCATTCTAATATTATTCGTTTAAAAATAAATAGAATTTTAGGTGAGATTTCATATCAATTGTTATTAAATTATTAAATAATTAAATATGATTAATAATTATTTAATTTTTCTTTATAGGATCCCTTTCGAATAGTAAGTAATAAATTGAATTAGAACTTTTATGCATTATTATATAAAACTATAAAATAAATGAATTAATTTCAAATCAATTAAATTATTCAAAACTGGTATAAACTTTTAAATTGATAAAATTTCGTCTAATAGCTGGAAGTTTAATATCATATGATAAATTGGATTTTACAGAATCATATTAATTCGTATAAATTTTTCATCATCTTAATGAAACTGTTATTAATAATGAGCTATTTCTAGGATAAATACTTTTTCTAAAAAAAGAACGCATGTCTTTACCAGATAATAATTATAAATTATTAGTTCAATATTATAATAATGCATATGATAGAAAGTTTGTAGCAATAGCTGGTACAGTTTCTGAAATATCAATAGAAGATCTCACTATCATTTTGCTATATATTAATCAATATAGCTATATTAAGATTGGATCTGAAATCTTTGAAGCAACAATTGCATCCTGATATATAAGGAATTCATATATATTAACAAAATTTATACAAAGTGATGAGATGACAGACATATTTCCTGGTGAAATACAATATTATTTTGAATATTTATTTGACTTTTTAATAGGTACTATAATGCATCATTTAGCATTTGTAAAATGGCATATACCAGCTCCTAACTGGCAAATAAAATTTCATTGTAAATCTAACGTTGAAGAAGAATTATATAATACTAAAGCTTTGAAAAAATGATTTTATAAGATTAATAGAGATAGTATCATTTCAGTTTATAATATATATAGTCAATTTGTGCTAAGTAAATTTATAGTTAGTGTACAAAAGCTAAAAAAGTATATGATAGTCATACCTATTAATAAACAATTTCATTTGTATCTTATTAAATAAATTTATAACAATTAGTATACTTTAATAAATTAATAAATTTGAAACAATCAGTAAAATTGAATAATTTATAAATTGTAAACAGTCGGTAAATTGAATAATTTTATAAATTGAAAATAATCTGTAAATTTATTAATATAGAAACTAATCAGTAAATTCTAATTGAATAATAATCATCAATCAGATATTAAACTGATTGATAACTAATTGTTAATTGAACCTAATTTGTTATTATTTAACATATAGTTATAATAGTTATAAATTTTTTAAAAACTGATTTATGTAATTCTACCTAATAATTATGATTAAGTTATTAACTGATTCATATCTGATTATAGTATCTACTAATTTCTATCTATTAATTACTAATTAAAAAATAGTGACTAATCAGAAAAGTACACTGATCAGCGTTTGACCTGTGCATGTTTACATTATTCTAATTAATTTTTTGAATATTTAGCATAAAATCATTCAAATAAGTATGGTAACGTTTTAGCAGGTAGTTTATTTGTCATTTCTAAAGGTTAATTTTTGATAATTTCTAATTAATATTATGCTTTATATTATGAAATGGGGCTTGAAGATAAAGGCTGATTATTGAAACATATATTAAAAATACATAATTATATATTATTATATAAATACTATTATAAAAATTTTTTTTAAGTTTTGGATCAACAAAAAGTAACAATTTTTAATTAATAGCCAATCAAAATTTTAAAATATGATTGTCAATTATTTTAGATTTAATTTTCATTTTTAGTAAGATCTTAGACTATATTATATTATAAGTTTTTTGGTCTTTTTTGTATATATGGGAGGCAGTCAGTAGAAAAGGAGAAAATCCAAAATTTTTGTTAATTTTTATTATTAAGCCAAATTTGTGCATATGATCGAGATTAGCCAAATGGTCTAATAATATAAATTTTGACCAAAATTTAGATTTCCCCTTTTCTACTGACCGTCTCCCATATATTAGTATATCAATATTTATATTATAAGAATTCAAATAAAGAAGCTTTTTTGTTAGTTATTTTGAGATCTTTTACCTTTATTAGTTTGATATACTGCTTTAGAAATGCTTACCATATATTTTATTTCTTTTTGATAAACTTGTTAAATGTGATATAAAAAGAATAAAGAAAAGTTATATTAATATAAATGAATTACATTTTAGAACAGGTTAAACAAATACCAATTGATAATAATAATGTTGAACAAATATTATATATTAGTCAGGTGAAACAAATATCTGTTATAATTATTATCTGATCTGTAATTTGTTAAATCAAATTAAAATTTATAAATTTCTATTCAGATATTTGCTCAGATCATAATATTTGAATTTAAGAAATATGAATCACACTATTATTTTTAAATTTATTATAATACATTTTATTGATATTACAGATATAACTTATTTTTACTTAGATTTTTGAAACTCTTAAATTTTTTTTTACTTGAATGGTATTATAGAAAATATCTTAATTAGAATTTCTTTTTAGATTTTTTTTTTAAATAATCAACTCTAATAATATTAAACAAACTTTTTACTTAACTTTAGAAGGTATTCTATTAATCATAAAAGTAACAAAAAAAGTAAAAATCTTGTGTCATATAACATCATAATATAAAAAAAAATACTTTAAAGTTGAAAGATACCAAATTCTTCTACTAATAAAAAAAATTGAATAAATATTATATTTTAAAGCAACATTAGAATAGATAAAATAGAAAGAAAATTTAAGACTAAAACCTTTTATTAAATAAAAATAAAAATCTTATTTTATTATAAAAAAATGAATTTTTGAATTTTACATAAAATTATCTGAAAACCCACCTTTGTAACCTAAGAAATTCTTTTTTCTCTTGTAAATTTACATTGTCAAAGCTATGTATTTGTCCATACTTTTAAAAGGATCTTAAAAAATACCTTAATTTCAAGACGAAACTCGTGATATGTTGGGAAAAAAAATATTTAATAAAATACGAAAATATTGATTGAACCTGATAATATTCTATCAAATTACTTGCTGGTTACACGAATTTCATTTTAATATGAAAATGATTTCATCCATAATGTTATGAATGAATCCTTTATATTTAACGCGAAATGTTTTGAATTTCCAAACCGCATTGCTAAATCGTTATATTCAAATACTTGATATTTTTTTGTGTCTCAGCGAGAATCTAATTTAAATATTCGGATACATTTAGCTTTAAGACCAACTGGTTTTGCTTTATTACATTATAGTATTCCTCAAGAAATTTTAGGTACAATTCTATCGCTCATCTAATTACTTAAAAACTAAGTACCTTGAAACTAATAATGTTAAATTCTTCTCATAAAATCAGATATTAAAAAATTTAAAAGTATCCGATGATTAATAGAAATTTTAAGAATCAATTTATTTTAATAGAAAATGAAATGAAAACGTCAAAATTCTTCTTTCGTAACAACTAGTGGAAAACGGCAGAATTTAATCAACAGACATTATTAAAAAATTCAAATTCAATTATAATACTATAGGATCCGAAGATGTAATATACAAAATCTTTTTTGAAAAATCTAAGACATATTAAGGTCTCGGGAAATGTGGACTGTAAACTTTATATTTTAATTTGTAGTTGCGGAGTTCATAAACGTGCTCAGTTAGTAGATCTAAAATAAGAATGAGCTTTCGCAGAAATATTTTGTGTCAGAACTCCCAAATCTTGCCGAATTATTACAAATCTGACAATTATTTGTTAAACAACATTGGTTCAGATGCATAAGCTTATGATATTTACTTTGAAAAGATATCAATATGTTAGTATTGATTCTTTATTCAACAACTGCAGCAGATCCGGAAAAAATATAAAAGCAATATTATTTTGTAATCAATATACTTTAGTATAAACGGAAAATTTTAAAGGTTTATTAAGTGTATTGGCTAATCAAGATGCAATTGAACAATATATCAAGCTTAGGAGCCTGAACTTTGGAAAGCTCATTGAGTTAAATTACTTGGCAGAATTTTAAAAGAACTTGAGACTGAGAAACAGAATCAAAATTTATTTTTGAGGATCAATTGCAGAAGTTTAGAATATATTTCAATTAGTGCATTATCGGAATTAAATATTAAATTAACCAAGTTTTACGGAATTTATCTATAAGATGATTGTTATTTGAGAGAAGAAAAGGTTAAGTTTTGAGAAACGGCTTTCCAATTTATGGTACGTTTTAGAGTTCTATGAGAAGTTTCTACAATTCGTTGATGCTTCGAAATCAAGAAATGGATTGTTCAATATTATTAAAACCAATGGTTTATTAATTGATTTATTAAAATAACTATCAAATATAATAAATAATAAATATAGTAAAGATAATCTAACTATAAATAATTATAAATAATAAAATGAAATCTAAATGACAATACGTTTCAGTCATATCAATATCGACCCTTTTACGGTTCTCATATAGTAGGTGCCCAGGCGAATTTGTTCCCCTCTATTTTCATAAAAGAAACCTACGCTGGTTAAAATTTTTTAATTGGTAAGCCAACATATTGAGGCAAGAAATGGTCTTGAGTTCCGAATATGCCTTGGTCTTAATATTATCACGATAGAAAAAAAACGTTTTATGGTAAATTTGGGGGGAATAAAAGAAATTTTGTTATTAAACAGTTTTTTTTTATTTTTATTTTTTGGTTTTTTGGGGTAGGTATACAAGTATTCAGATATACAGTTAATTGGTTTATTTTTTGTTTGAAACAAATATTAGTGTTTATAAACGAACAGTCAATGAGGAATTTTTTTTGGATACAAAGTGCTTTTCTTCCGTTAAAAATAACTATAAGAAGGTTAAGTCGGATTTTGGATCCAGTTTCAATAAAGTTGTTGTGTATTCGAACACTGCATAATCGATCAATAAAACCCCTTTCCTTATAGAATAATAAGGGGGATCAATTTAACCGTTGTAACATGGTATTAACAAAGTTTAGAAAGAAATTCTTTCTTTCTATTACAATTCCATAGTTGGAAAGAATTGTTTACTATATTATGCGAAAAAAAGGGTGTTAGCTTATCTCATGACAGTATATAAATGCGAACTTCCCTACCAACTACCAACTATGTCAAAAAAAAAAAAATCATAATATATCATCATGAACGCAAGTGAAAAAAAAGATACCCCACAACCAAAAATCATCCACGAAGGTGTTAAGATGCATGATTCTGATACCGCAATTGCAGCAGAACCTCTTCTTGATCAACATTCAGACTCACCGCAACAGCCTCTTCAGAATGATAACATAATTCTAGCTAATCCTCTGGTTCCAAACCTACTTTGTTCACCGTATCAACCACCTGGATCAGAATCGCAGTCACAGCATGACTCACAAGAAAATTATTTAATATCACAGCAATATAATACTCTATTAGAACAACCATCTTTTGAGCAATATACCTTATTTTACCCGTCATACAATTATCACAATTATCCTTATATGAATAACGTGTTTTATATTACTCATCATTGGATTTTATATGAAATTACTTACTTACCGCCACCGCAATCATTCGAGTTCGGTTTAGGTGCTGAGTTACTAAATTATGAGAATAATGAACAGGATAATGAATATGATAATAATTATAATGATAATGTTTAGAAATTTTTCATTTTTTTTTTTGTTTTATTATAATATATTTGCACGTCCGAGCTTAAAGTATATGGCGCAACAACTAAATTTGTACCAAAAAATTTTTTATTATTTTTTATAATTCTATTATTTTATATTTTTAACTCTTTTAACTCGTATATTTTTAATTTTTATTTTGGATTTAATCAATATAAACATATAATATTAAAAGTTTGTATTGTAAATAAATGGGTTTAACACCAGGAGAAAAGCAAATAAAGATGGTATTTTTAACCGATCTCTTCTCAAGTCGGTGAGAGAAAATAATTTTTGAATTTCAAATGTCGTTCTTTACAATGCACATGTGATGTGAAAAAAAGGCATTTGTATCATGAAAAAAAAGTTAAGGCATGATCGTCGTAAACTTTTTTTGATACAAATGACTAGCACAATTTGATATGCCATTCTGTTTTAAAATTTAGTTTCACGCACCACCAATCACGTGAAATTTTCTGGAAATTTAAAAATAAATGTCTGTGGTATTATAGCATAGTGGTAATAAAGATTAATCATAAATACTCAAAGGCTTGGGCTTAGTATAAGAAATTCCAATTTTGATATTTTTTAAATACTAATTTTTTTGTTGAATACAGCTTATTTATATTAGTTTATTTTTTACTTTTTTATAAAAATTATTAATAGTTAAGAATAAAGTTACATATAAATAAAAATTAAAAACTTTTACATTAATTTGATAATCATATAACACCTATATAAACAAACCCCTATTAAAAGCAACTTTATATTAATTAATGATATATCTGCTATTATAATTGAAAATATATTAAAATGTTATGTTATTTGTAATTATAACATAAATTTTAATATGCATTAAAATATTATAATATATATTTATAATATATATTACAATAGGTATATTAGAGACCATACAACTTTGATTTCAGTTCACATAACATTAAAATTTAAAATTGACACAGAAATCCAAATTTTATTAATAATTATTATTTATTAATAAAAAAGGTTATTATACCACCTGATTGGTCAAAATGTAAAAAAATTGTATTATTAATAAAGATATAAATAATAAACAAATTATATTGTTTAAATTAGTTTGGCTAATCACATTTTGCGAAAAGTTATTTTCTATATAACTATATAATCAATATAATTATATTTTTGTGTATGACAATCACATTTAAATAATTGAATTTATTTTTTATTTTAAAATCATTATTACTCTGTTAAAATACCTATTATATATATAAAAATAAGTTATTATTCTAATATTATGAAGGATTATGAAAGTTTACCTATTAAGAAAGAAATAAAAATAAAAGATTTTTTTAGAAATATATCAAATGATTATTTTTTTATAAATGATAATTTGTTCATAAATAATAATCAATCCTTTATAAATAATGAATCATATATTTATAATAACTGTTCTAATGATATTTAAGAAACTAATAAAAAGTTTATTATAAGAAGATGTTATAAAAAGAACTAAAGTTAGATAAAATAAATGATTAGAATATGTCATATGAACAGGTATTAAGTATAATTTTTATACTGAATTTTTGTAGATTAGGATTAAGTTAAGATAGTTTAATATAAAAATATACTTAATATCATTTCATGTAATATATTCTAATCATTTTACCTAACTTCTCTATTACTCTTAAAAGAAAATATAATAGCAGTAAGAAATATAACCATTATCCTGAAAATACTAGACCATATTTTTCAAATCTTTACTACATTTCTGATATTTTTATGGTTTTTATAGATTATAAAACATCAAATAAATTTTAAGGTATATAATGATTTTTATGAATATCATTAAGTATTTTAAGTTTAATTCAGATAATATTTATATTTACAAGTAAATATTAAAAAGAATTGTAATAATTTACTACTCCTTTCATTTAAAAGCTATGTTATTACCTTCAAAATTGTAATATATATCTTCTACTTTTAACCCTACTTATTATGTTCTGATTTTTTTTTTAAATGATATCATTCATCATATGTTAACAAATCTATTATTGTAAAGAATATGTATTTTGGTCTAAGTATATATTGTAAGAATAAACACAAACTATAGTATTGAGATCTTTAACATAAATTCTCATTATTCTATAATATATGTATAAAACTAAATAAAGGTATTAAAATTAATACTTTAAATATTGTAATTAAATTTTATATAACAATATACTAATTTATTCATTTATTATATCATTTATATAAAAAATAATTATATATAGTCTTTGACTTTATCACATATTATAATATAAGCAAATAAATATATTATATGTGAATTATATTAATCTTATGTATTGATAAATTTCAATGTAATTATATCAAAATCAAACATATTATTAAATTTATTTCATTACCTTTTATACTCAAATCCTAACAAAAAAATAATTGCTTTTTATAAAGAATATCTGTAAATAATTAATAAAATATTTGTCATAAACCTTACAAAGATTAAGACTAAAGTTGATATTTGATTAATTGATTTTAATAAGGCTAACAATTATTAATATGCTATATATAAAATTATATATTATATAAATACATAATAGATCATAAGGTTAATTGATTTATAGTATCTCTATCATATTAAATATATATTATTATTCAGAATTCTCTTCATAATTTGCTTATATTCAATTTTTTTCTTGATATTTATATTGACAAATTCAATTCATTTTATACTACATATCATACTATTAGTAATTGCTACTTACAAATCAGTAACATGAAATAAATGCTTTATAAAAAGCTTAAAAATCACTTTTTTTTAGTTGTGATTGTTATCTTCAATGCTTATATGATGTTTTTCATTATAAGAGTTATATTTTGTTAAATAATTGCTTTAATCATTATTTGAAATTCTATTCTCAACAGAAGAGACTGAATTTTTGAAATTTTGACACAATTTTAAATTTCCTTTACATTAGTCTTAGCTAAAGATGGGAACTGTAATTAATATGTTGCAACTTTTAATGTTGCAACTTACGTTGCAATTAGTTTTAACCTA